ATTTTGTTATCGATATTTTTATCGATTTTCTAAGTGATTTTTGTTATCGATATATTTATCGGTTTTATTATCGATTTTACTATCGAAATTTGTATCGTTTTTGCTATCGATTTTGTTATCGATAGAGTATAAAGATAAAGGAAAACAGAATAACATAAATGTAATTACAACGAACAGGGGTAGAGGTAGGGATCTATGTACGTAGATAGAAAAAGGACAAAAAATATAACCTTAAGCAAAAGCAGATGTATGTATGTACATATGTACATATGTATGTGTATTTTTTATGAGACTAAATAGATATCTTATTTAAGTTTCACTTGTCCAGTGTGGCCTAGGCACACTTACTTTTTTTATCTATTTTTTCGATTTGTAAGTTCTATTTGGATTTTTTTATCTGATTAAAAACTCGAACATTCGGTTATCGAGCGGTTATAATGCTATTCGGATTTTCAAATCTAAAAATAAAACTCATCTTAACCGGACATCCGGATTCCGAGAAAAAAAGTTTCCAAACAAAAGTTACGTACTTTTATTCGCATAATCCGAATCTATGGTAAAAGAATGTATGGCCTATTTAAAATAATGGATTACCGATATTCATATTTCGGCGTTTTCCATTTAAGAAGGGGTGGACTGGGACACCCAGTAGATATCTTATCGATACTAAGATCCGCATAGTTATCGAAAAAAAACTAAGATTAAGTTAGCAACTGAACTTAAGAGTTTAATTTTTCGAAACATTGTGTAAAAACAAGCTGACTGTGAGTTGTCTCTACGTAAAACTTGCTTGTCTTTGCTTCTTACCGTACATCTTCATCTTACTCTTCATCGTCATATTCAATGTATCTTTGCCTTCGTCTCCATCTTCACATTTATCGTAATTTTCATCTTCATCTTGCTGTGCGACTTCGTTTTCATCTTTAATTTCATCTTAACCTTCATTTTTATTGAAGATAATCTCAATCTCAATCTTTGTCTGATTTTTTTATTTTTTTTTTATTTGTCTTTATCGGCGCCGTTTACTTCTCATTATCTTTGTCATTGTCTAGATCCTTGTCTTTGCCTTTGCCACCGTAGCGTTAAAAATTAACGCAAATATCTTCAAAGTCGATGAAGAAGTTTCACTTCGGAAAAAAAATTTAGTCAAGAAAAAACATTCATTTTTTTTTTTTGGTAAAACACAAAGAACATTCTCCAGAACTCAAAATTTGTTTGCAAGGAAAAGTTGATTAAGAAAACTAAGCATTTATTAGGTACATATTTGGAGGGCAAGGAAAAATCGGACCGCACAAACGTCATTGTTTGTTAAAGAAGCGTTGAAATGCATGTACGAATATTATTCTTGAAGAATTTTTTGAAAAAAAAAATAGCTACTTTGGATTAGTTGGACAGAAAATTTATGTATGTATCAGAAGTTGTGGTGTTGTGAGAAAGGCGGCGATGAGAACAGGGGTCGAGTCGAGTCCCTTGAGTTTATGGCTCCATAAAAATTTTCGATATTATTAGTTGCAAGATTCTCTTTCTACTGATATTTCGATATGTATGTACATGGAGAACTCCTAAAATATAAATTAATGCGAGTACTTATGTGGATCACCTTAAATATACATACATATGTATGTACATGTCTATGGTCGTCTGCAATAACGACACAATTCAAAAAATAAAAACCTTGACTGATTGATTGAGTGCCTCATGTCTCTAATCCTTGTCTAATCCATGTTCAATAATACCTAAAACCTCAAAAAATGCAATACAATTATTCCGAATTCGGGCTTGAGATGACCTCTAGATGACCTTGAAGCATCAAGGGACCCCCATATTCGGATTCAGCGACAACAAAAAACCTTGTATATGAATTTTTATTTGTACTGAATAAATTTGTGTTCCTATTTGTCCCTCAAATGACCTCGAACTTGACATTATGAAGGTTAGCGGACCTCGGATTCGGGTTCAGCGCGTCGACTAACTTAGGGATTTCGAGGTTGGTTCAATATGCAGAAAACTCTTCTTTTTTTTGTAAACCTGTGTTATCATTGCATCGCACAAAGGAAATAATTATTAGTTGACTTTTTCTCGATGACAAGTAATGATTATTTTATGATTTTTATATTTCCGCTCAGAGACAATAATTATTATCGAGTTATATTTTTCCACTCATTTCAAATAAATGATTCTCTATAAAATTTAAAAGCCCAGACGAAACCAACTGAAATTTTGACCTGAAAATTTTGGAACTTATTCCTTTTATTAGGATGTCGCTACCTCTGAAAAGGATATGTCTGAACTCACGTTGGTATAGTTTTTGAGTTCTTTGTACTATCATTAAATGGAAAAATAAAACTCAATAAAAATTATTATTTTTAAACGAAAAAATAAAAATTGAGCAATAATAATTTCCTTTGAGCGAAAAAAAAAATAAAGTTTAAAATAATAATTTTAGTAACGCAAAACTCGGGAAAATTCAATAAATTTGCTTACTAATTTGCAACTTTCTATTCTATTTTTCAGAAAAATTTTAAATATGCGGTTTTATAGCATAAGAAAGAGCAAGTTTGAAGATTTTTGAAAAAAATGTCGCTTACGTTATTTTGGCGGTTAGGGCTCGATATACATTCGTCTATTCATACACTCAGCCACGCAACGCATTGCAAATTAAAATGAATTTGTTGCATATTTGATTTCAAATTGCATTGCTGTTTGCCTTTTATTTATTTTAAAAATTTTTCGATTTGTTTGATTTGTTTTTTTTTTTTTGTGTCAGCTCACTTTTATTCGTCTTTATACATAAGTATTTGTTATTTTATTACAGTTCGCAAAACGAACAACAACACTGTCTCGTTGCTGGTGATTTATTCGCTTCTTACAATCGTTTTTTTTTGCCACTTTTTTCCAAGTGATAGCCGCTGCTCCACTTCCTCATAAACAATTTTTTCTTGTCGTCTTATGCATTTTACAGTGTTTACTTGCATTTTAGTTTCTTAGTGTCATTGCATACATATACATATGTATGCATGTTTGCACACACCTAAAATACGTAAGCGCCACATTCACGCGCCAAAAGTGGGTCAGCGCCAATGTAAAATGACACAAGTGACGACACAGTTACCCGGATTGGGAGTGAAGGAGGCGACAGCACGTAAGTAATGACTTTGAATGTAATTAAATAAGAAAAGACAGTACATAGATAGATATGAAATAGCGCACAGATACCGGGGCTCATGGATTGGGACTAAACGCTTACATAATCATATCTACAGAATGCTTATTTAGCAAAGTGATAAGTTGATATGATAAATATGTACTCATTGGGAAGTGCAATCAAAGGGGAAGGGGAAGGGGTATAAAATTGGGTTGAAACTATCGGTACAGTCGAATATCCTGATATCCGTTTGGATATTCGTGTGTGCGGATAAAATCCGGTGAATATCTATACGTTCTATTTTGTTATTCGGCTAATATTAGTTCACTTTGTTATAGAGATATTCGGTTAATATTCGGTTATTCGGATTTTTTAAACAGATATTCGATTATCCGGATATTCAAAAGTCCGAAAAGATTAGAATTGTAGGATTGCAAATACATAGGAATTATGAAAATGCAGAAATACTCGACCATTGATAATTAAGAGGGCACACTGAGTAGTGTTTGAAATGTATACAAAAAAAAATTAGTAAATTGCGCTTGTGCCACAATACGGAGTCGAAACTTTTTTCGACGCATTTCAAAGTAGTTCGTTTCATATTGAAAACTTTTTAGTCTTGATCTCCATCTTAGTCTTAGCCTTTATTTCTATCTTTATTTCAATCTTTATACCTATCTTTAACTCTCTATTTTTATCTGCATCTTTATATTTATTTTTATGTTTATCTTTTGCTATATTTTTATAATTATCTTTATGTTTATCTTTGGCTTTGTGTTTGTCTTTCTCAGTCGTTATCTTTAACCTTATCTTTGTCAGTATATTTATTTTTATCTTTGTCTTTATATTTATTTTTTTACTTATCTTTAACTTTACTATATATCTTCGTTTTTTTTTTGTTTGTCTTTGTCAGTCTTTAGCTTTGTTAGACTCTCTTCCATCATGTTTTTTTTTTTTGCTTCAACATAGTCTATGTGTAGCATGGTACGCGTTATCCAACCTTTTTGAAATTTCATAGATGACCTTTTTATTGCTCTGAGTCCCTTGTCATAGAGGCATTTCTTCATGTTTTTCAACAGAAAGTGATCGTAGATAAATCAAAGCACCGAAGTGTGGTTCTTTGCCGAAGAGATAAGTTTCCATCAACTTCATAGCTAAAACGTTCCATTGACCAATAAGGAGCTTAACTATGCCGTTAGAATGTGAGTAAAGATTATAGTAACGGCGAGTTTCAGAATAAGTTATGTTGATACATGTTTCGTTTTAACGATCTTACGAGCCCTAAATTTGAAATACCAAAAAAAAAACAAAACATATATCGAGCCCTAACCGCGCGAAAATGGAGTCTGAGCTTAAGCTCACTTTTTTTTCGAATGAGGACCATTATCATTCATATGTGAAATATGTAGATAAAACAAAATCGTTCACTGTATGCGAATTTCATCTCGAATTGGCAACATTTAAGGTATTTTTTCACGTGTACGACATTTATGTATATGTACACAATTTATTATAGCTCACAGTGTCATATTGACTGCAATGCGTTTTTTTTTTGTTTAAATTTAATCTGCTATTATTGATAACCCTTATACTCAGGAAAGAGAAACTCGACAAAATTTTCTTAGAAGAGAAAGAAATTTGCGTTGCTTACATAGTTAAATATGTATATAAAGAGTTAAGTTTTCAATAAATAAGGAGATGCAAAGGCCCGACAAATCATTTTATATGGACACTAGGGAGCCAGCTAAGCTTGAATTTCCAAATTAATAAAGGAGCAGCGTTTTAAGTGAACATCTTGGCAACAAAGACAACCAGAGAAACCTCTCTCCATTACTGTTCTGTCTCTTTAATTTTCGCTTCTTCTCTATCAATGGAAATGCAAATGCCTGTTTAGTTCGAATAAAGTTCCTAAGTTCAATCAAAGCGCAGTTTTCTAGAATCAAGCGATAAGTTAAGTGCCACGGAATCAATTCGCAATTAAAGGCAAAACTGAATGCTGAATAAAACATAAGTCCAAAAAGTATTGTTCCAATAATATTTCTTCAATAGTGTTTCTTTAAGTTGGAGTAGAATCTATGTATATATGTATGTGCATATGTCTGTCGGTATGTGTGAAAATTTCTTCTTCAGTTCAAAAACATCTCAGTGATGCTATATATTGAATTCAAGTGGGACACCTACGAATAATTAATCTAACCGAAAGAATAGAAATTTTACAAACTTCATTTTGTTGCCCAATAAGTTCTCTAATTGCTGTCAAAAAATCATAAGATTCGAATGAATGGTTGCTGAAATATTTCAAAAAGTGTAAAAGCCTGCAGAAAAATTTGTTTGCAAATAACTCGTAAAAAAATAAAATTAGCGCAAAATTTTTGGGGTCAATAATCAAAAATTTCAATATCGGTCAATGAAATATAAAAAATCGAAAAGTCAACTTTGGTGGCCCACTTGAGAAAACTTGATTCAGTATGATTTAAAAATCACGAAATATCCTGAAAAGTCCTGAAAGCCCAGAGAGATATAGAAATAGATGTATATGTATAGCAAAAATAAAAAAATTCGAAAATTCGCGGAAATCCCGAAAAATACAAATAAAAGAAGTCACATTAGTAAGTAAAAAAATTAGATACTTGCAACCTATTTGAAAATTTGAGTTTAAGTAAATTGATTAGATAAAACACATACTGGAATATGGGTGGCAAAGGAAAGAGATTTCGGAAGGCTTACAGCCGAAAATATTTTTGAGGGGGGTTACCACCCGTTTGAATAATTTTATTTTATTTTATTAATTAATTTATTAATGAAATATTACACAATATTCAAAAGAAAGTGGTTTAAGAAGGGCTTACAGCCGTAAACATTTTAGATGAGGGTTTCCACCTATTTGAAAATTTTAATATATTGTAATTGATAAATTTAATTTAATTTCATTGATAAGATGAATCAAATATGACAATATGAGTGTCGAGCGAAAGTTATTTGAGAAATCATTGATTTAGAAATATTTTCAATTCAGTTGTCACGTATCTAAATTGTAAAAACTGAAAATATTAAAATGAAATGAAACATTACCAGACTGTTAGCAAATGAAGAGTTTCTTAATGAAGAAAGAATTTTCAACATATTATCAAATATTCGGCGTGCTTTGCTGCGCCTTCAAAGAATTCGCGTGCTGTTACTTCCTCTAAGGGCCGTTTTCTGCAGTAACCTTTAAGTTTAAAGCTCGCTTTTTAGTTAAAGGTTGGGGTTAAAGTAAAGCTAAGAATTTCAATTATCGGTTTATGACGTATCAGAAATTTTAATGCAACCTTTACATATAAAGTGAGCTTTAAAGTTACGGGTTACTTGAGAAAACGGCTCTAAGTACATAGCACAACTAAAACTCGAATGGGCTTATTATGAAAAATAAAATAAATTTATTATTTATAAATAAATACTTTCAAATCAATATTATCTAGGAGATTTGATGTAGTGAGAGAAAGTGACAGAACAAAAATACTTTGAAGGTGCAGCGAAGCACGTCGGTTATGTGCCTGTAATTTCTGTACCTTAAAAAAAGCGTATACACATATAATATCAATTCAAAAATAAAAATTCTGACAGCATGGCTTGGAGATCAATCATTTGGATATCCTTTGTAGTTCTTGTGTGGACGAATTTTGGCACCCCAGCATTTGGAGAAGACAATGTAAGATATGCTAAGAGGGTAACATAACAGTTGTTACGAAGTTTTTAATATTGTATACTTTTATGTTCCAGGCTTTCACAGTGCTTTTCGGCAGCGAGGCAACTTTGCAGAATTTACAGCACGAAGTTGAAAATATCAAACAAGGGTTGGCACAAAGTCGTCAAAGGTAATCAAAATCGCTTGGCATTTTCTTTTCCACCAAAAAATATTATCCACTTGTTGCCTCTGCGCATAAATACAAGGGAGAGGGCAATGCAAAGGCAACATTTTTTGTAGAAAGGAATTTCTATTTCTTACATCAATTTTGATTTAAAACGCCGAGATATATACATATGTCACACTTTTCAGGCTTAACAGCATTATAGAAACGCAAAGAAATTTGCTTGCAAAGGTTGTTAACATGGAAATCGAGATAAGGAAGCATAATGAGTATGTATCAACAAGTATTAAAAAATTATTATATTCCGAGCAAATAAGGTCAGATGGAATACAACGTCAAGCGCACAACAAGCAGGAACAAGAGATCGCAGCTAATTCTCAGCGAAGATGGTTGCAGGAAGAAATCAATAAATTCGGAACTAAATTCCTTGCGACAATGCAAAAAGAACTCGATAGTCAACGTCAATCTCTTGAACAGAAATTACAAGAAAAACTTGAGGTCCAGACTGAGAAAACGAAGGAGATGTTCATACACACAGCCAATAATTTAACAGACATAGTCAACAACTTGATCAAATCACAAAACTCAGAGATACTAATCGAACCGAGGAAATCTGCCCCAAATACACAACCGACGCCAAAGGACATCAATTTAAACGACAAGCCGCAAGATACTTGGCCGTCATATAAAACCTTTCTGCAAGAAACAAATGTGCGATTCAGAAGGAATGCTTCCACCGGTTTATGTGATGATGAGTTCAGTACCGTAATTAATGCTTGGAAAATATTTGAAAACAATTTGTCTAGATCAATATACTGCTTGAAAGACCCAGCAGGCGGCAAAAGCTGGCGTGTCATACAACGTCGCCATATCGGTGGCAATGAATCTTTCGATCGCAGTTGGTTAGCTTACAAAGACGGCTTCGGCGATTTAGATTATGACTTTTTCATTGGTTTGCAGGATATTCACAGCATGATGTTACCAAATAAGAGTACCGAATTGTGGATACAATTGGGCACAAAAGATGGACATAGTCCTTACGAAATGTATAAAAACTTCTTTGTAACCAGCGAAGAAAATGAATTTCGGTTGATGTTTGTGTATGGAGCAAACGGTACGGCTGGTGATGAGTTCACACCAGTTATTGATGAACCCTTCCAAGCGAAGGGAATGGGTAATGTGGATCAGAAAAGTTGCACTCAAAGAATGCAGAGCGGCTGGTGGTATCCAACAGATGGAGATTTATGCGGTAGCGGGTAAGTTAAATACATTTTATACATACATATGTATGTACGTATGTGTTAACACATTTCAACTTAATTTTTTATTTTGATTTATTTATTGTAGTAACTTGAATCGCGACTTCAAAGATATGATATGGGGTGATTGGAAAAATATAGTTTATACGCATATGGCAATAAGATACAGTGATAACCTCGTGAACGTAAAGCATAAAGTTTTAGATGTAGATGAAAATGAACAAAAGTTACGGATACAGAAGATAATCGAGAGTGAATTTTCGGGTGGGGAACCTTTATAATGATGTACCTTATTTAATGGTTGTGTTAATAAGTAATCATAAATTTTATTTTTGATGCGTTCTTAACAAATACACGTTATGATTGACACCCGCCAACAAATCCACATAATTCGTTAAGCCATAAGCAATGGCAAGGTCACCGGCGAAAGCGGTAACTTTTCCAAAGAAAGTTAGGCTTAGGTAACAGCACCAAACGAATGGAAGAAGAGCGGAATTGCATTTGACGCAATGCTTTACTGCAATGCATCTACCTCCACTTGATACATTCATATTATCTCGACTCCAATCTGTGCCGATATCGATATCTCAGAGAGTTGGCTGCAAATTTCTAAGGACAGTCGGAAGAAGGAATTTTCTTAACTGAACCGAGGCTGGATACAACTTTCCTACTCGTCGTCTGGTTTTGTATGAGGCCGTGTGATTGAGTAAATACAATAGCATCCTAATGTGATACAATTTTTGCTTCTCGAAATAGTCGTTCAGAACTATGCCATGTGCATTTTCGCATGGTTCTACCATCTGTTTTGACAATCCTTAGGTCTTTGGTGTGAAATAGTAGATCCATGTGTCACTTACAGTCATGAATGGACTCTTTCATTATTATTATTTCAAATATCTTACCTGCTTTCACTCGATGGCCACTTAAAATGATTGGAGCGTAAACTCCATTAACCCTTTCTTCAATTGTGAACTCAAACGGGACTACTGGAGTGCTCCGCGTCGTATTCACACGTCCACAACGAAATCATGTACATATACCACTTCTGAATTATGCCAAATGCAGGATCTCCATAATATTTTTTTCAAGCTTGAATTTGATTAAAAACAAAATGCAAACCTTTACTACTTCAGGCATCTCTGTTAAAACTGAATAAATCAACTGATATTTATAAATTTTTGTGTAACGTCTTTTAAAGGTTGCCAGCTGATAAAAAAATTACAAGTTTGCCAATAAGTTTGCCGCTTTAGTCCTGACTTATTGAACACCCGTGTACGATGGCATTCGGAGGTTAATTAGAGCGCGAATTACGAATGCGACAGCGAGCCACGCAATTGGGGTGCCGTAGGGAAGCCATAAGGAACCTACTTTTGTATAAGAAGTTAAACTTTCGTAACGGTGAATGATATAGTCACGGTAATTAAATACTTCAGAGCATTTTTGAAGATTGATTGAAGGACATTAAGATCGTAAAAATAATTAATTCTCACGATGTTTTTCTCAACAAAAGCTGGTAATTAAAATGATATAAAGTAGATCATATCACAAACCTAACGTAGAATAATGTCAAAGGGCAAAGAAGATATTTCGAACCGTTCTCGATCATGTAAATATTAACTTTGACTGCGAAATTGTTTAGCATATACATATATATTTAGTTTGCATAGAAATAGCCGAGGCAAACGACGACATGACGATGCGTGCACTGCTGCAGAAGATTTACGTGTAAGTGAATCACTTTGGTAATAGCCTTCAGGTTAAGATGATCAGCCAACCATGAAAGCAATTTGAATGTTATGTGCTACACATATGTACACTTTTTTATAGATGAATTCTTAGAAAATTTTAAAACATAAATGCGTATTTGTAAGTACATAAGTATGCACAAACTATATATTGAACCCAGCAAATCGAAAATAAAAACTTATTTACAAGGGAAGGGACAATTCTTGACAATAGTAAAGCGGAATGTGTTTTTGTATTTTCTCTTGATTTTGATGTTTGATATGCAATACTGCAATACAGTAGCAACCTAAAAAATAGCATACGAGGCAAAATGATTGAAAATAGTTACATAAGTGATATTCAGCAGTACATATAGAATAAACATTAAAATTAAGAAATAATTTAATTTTACACACTTTTTTAGAGTCACTTGCAGAACAATAGTTTTTTTCTGTTCAACTCGGAGTTAATCGGCTAAATCAAATAATTAAAAAATTAACCAAGCAATTTTTGAAGGTTTACCTGCTTACACTAGTTCTAATGCTTGCTATTTCTTTACGGATTATTGCTCTTTTTTTGTCAGTTAAGCTGACGCGGCGGTCCCTAGCTAGGTCTCCTCGAGTCCAACCGGCCTAAGAAATGCAATTTCATGTCCGAAATATGCATAAATTCATTTTCATCCAATAAAAACTACCAAACAACAAAACACCTAAGAATTTTAATGCCACAAATGCACCGGGAGTGTAACAATCAATGGTAAAGGTGATAAAGCTTATATAGCACCGCTTTTGACGATTTTCTCAGTAGACTTTGTATGATTATTAAGCAAATATCTCAAGATATATTTCTCGGTTGCAACTGTTCAATTAAAAGAGTTTTACAGTAAAACCCCATATCTGAGCAATCAGTTGTATGGAGGCAATAGATTATAGTGACCCGATCTTTGTCATATTTACATTTACATACATTTTCATGGGTCTATCTCTTCTTATTCTGGTACTTACAAACATCGGACCAAAGTTATAATAGATACAATTCCATGCTCCTGAAAGGTATAATTAGCTGTCTTGGGACAAAATGGAGGTTTTTTTTTTAAGAAGAATCCTCATAAATCAACCGACGTATCAGCTCGATTTCCAAAACTTCTTAGGCGAACTAAGAACAGTTCCGCTATACCAAAAGAACTGGGGCCGATTCAATAGCGATTTCATGGAGATGAATTGAATCCAATGAGCTCTCGCTGTAAGCATAGCCTTCTGGAAGCCAATTCGACGGCATACATTTTTTATGCACACTATTGTATGTAGATTTGTTCAGCATATGTAGATAGTATGTGCATATAATGGCCTGGCTATTTACCACATACTGTTAGCTCAGCTGCGATGTCGTCGTCCAGCGCAACCGTCGATGCGTCGTTGTCTCATGCGTTGGAGCGTAAAGTACATTAAACCTCAAACATGAAGTGGTACGGCTAAAATAACTACATACATACATACATACATACATACATATATGTACATTTCTAACATATGCTTACATAAGTTTGTAAACTTGTATACATACATAAGCGCATGGACTACGATTACAAGCCCCACATTATGGAGAGTACGTGACGAGCATTTCTACTAACTTTTTTACAACAATTACCATAACAATACAATAAAGAAATTTTTAAGCAGTAAAAGGCGCTTCCTCATTAGAGTACCTTCTGCTGACAAAATCTAAAAAAAAAGCATTAAACTGAAAATTGTTTTTCAATACATAGAACAACAACAGAAACGAAACTGTCTTTACAAATGTAATCGTATCTAGGCGCATGTTTACTGCCTGCCGTACTCGAGTCTTTTGTAATTCGGTTAATGGCAGGTGTTTCGTTAATTGCAAATGCCTGTGAATAGTTTTCTGAGAAATATATTTTGCTGCGCCTTAGAATTCAGCATAAACTCTAATTCGAATTTTTATAACTCATTTAATGCGACTTCTAACGTTGACAGTGTGAAAAAGCCCTTAGTTTTGACTAGGGAAATCAGCTTTGGTGCAAGCCTTAGGGTGCGTACACAGAGAGTCGAACGAGCGAAAAAGGTGAAGCCGAGTGAAGGTATGGCTGTTCACACTGCACGAGGCGGAGCGAGCTTTTCTCATGGAATCAAATGCCGAAATACCGTAAAAATTACCAGCAATGAAAAGCCGCTGAAATTGTTGTTTATATTTCTTCAAAAGATATCTATACATATAGTAAAATTGTAACAGGCCGATGTCTGTACATTATAGATATTAATGAAAATTTAATATGGAGGGGGGGGTCTTTATTAGAGCAACAGAAGCCCAATCAATAATTCTTAGAATTTTGTATGTTATGTGTGTCTGTCTGTCTGTCTGCATGTTATAAAAAGCAAAAAATTAGAAAGTTGCCACCTGTTTGAAAATTTAAGTTCAAGTAAATTGATACGATAAACTAAATATTACAATAAGACTGTCAAAAAATGTGGTTTAAGAAGGCTTACAGCCAAAAAAAGTTTTTTGCAAGGTTGCCACCTGTTTGACAATTTTAATTTAATTCAATCAATAAGAAATATTAAATATTGCAATATGGGTATCAAACTAAAAAGGTTTAGGAAAGTTTACTGGCGAGAATATTTTGTTTGGGGGATTGCCACCTGTTTGAAAAATTTTATTCATTTTAATTGATGAAATAAATGAAATATTACAATAAAGATGCTTAAAAAAGTTTATTGTCGAACATATTTTTGAAGCTGGTTGCCACCTATTTGAAAAATTTAACTAATTTAAAATGATAAGATAAGGTAAATATTGAATTATTTCGAATTATTACAACTTAGCACAAATTTCGCGATATGTAGACTCGAGTTATAAGATTATAAACTAAATTTACGTACCCTTAGACAAAGTTTACCGAAGGCACATGTCAAGAGTATATTTAGCAATTAAAGTCATAGTTTTATCTCGCCCCCAAATTCCGAGGTCTGGCCTTCAGCGATTTCCAAACAAGTCGGCTGCAACTTGTGACGATACCGGACATGACATTTGAAGGCGATAACGAAAGATTTGCCATTAATTAATTCAAAAAGTTGGTCTCTTCATAGAGCTAAAATAAAATTTAATGAACAACTTTTTCGTAAGATTTTTTAAGTTTTTCCCCAAACACTCAATATGGGCATTTTAGACACTTTGTTTTTAAGAAGTTCACTACAGAGCTAAAATGTTTTACAAAAATATTAGGCGAAGAATTTTATTGCCACTTCGGTAGCATATTCCACAAGTATGGGGTGAATTTTTTTGAATTTATTACAACACCAACAATACGTTGCCGTATTATTTTATTTCCAAAATGTTTTTATTACTCTTCTTCATTATTACTACGAGCATTTAATTGCTTATTTTTTTTTACCCAAATAATTACCCAAATAGGCAGTGTTTGTTGTAATTAACTTCATAACTCATAAAGCGCTAATTAATAGTGAGTGCATTCACTTCCATCCATACAGTTTTTTGACTTTTGAACTCACCTGGAACGAGAGAAAAAAAAAAAACAGAAAAAGAAAAATTAATTATACACATACATGACTATTTGGTATCTACAGTAAAGTTAAAGAGACGAACAATGAAATGAAAAACAATTATTATCAAA